TATTTGTCTGTTGTTCTTTTTCGGGTTAGCGTTTTTTGTTGCGATTCTTTTACTCTGATTAAAAACACCATAATTTATTTTATGTTTTTCTTGTTGGCGTTCTGAGTTGTGTTCTTGTTGTTGTTTTTTTTTCTCTTGGCCTGTTTCTGCCTCTGATTATTATATAATCACTTACAAAAATATTTCACACTCTGTGCATTTGCGTATCGTTTTGCCTGCGATTTTTCTTGTGCTGCTGTTTTTCTGCTACGTTTAAACTGTCGAAGCTGCAAAATGCAACTGCCGTTTTTGGCCTGCCCAAGTTGTCATGAAGGCTATTTTTTCCGTTTCAGTTGCAGTTTTTAGTTTTTGTTTTTAGTTGTGCATACAAAAATATAATAGATGCTCGTTGCTGAGCTCTAGGATGCTGCTGCTACTGATGATGATGATGACGGCTACGACGAGTGGTAGTGCTGATGGTGGTGGTGGTGGTGGTAGTAGTCGTAGTATGAACAATGTGCATAAGTATCACAGATTTTAATGGGGGGAAGTATTCCCCAGGCATATTGTTTGCTGTGCATACAGATTTTGGCTCAGGGCTGTCAGAGGCCTTGTAATATTGCCTCAGGCTAGCTGGCAGATTGTGGAGAGACTGGTGCTGGGTGTACTTCCCCGTACCAATTTCCAAAGCCAAAAGTTGTACATCACACTTTGGTGGCTGTCAGAAAAGGGGATACAAAAAACCACTGACAATGTTCAAGACTTTGTGGTCGTTGTTGTTGTTGTTGTTGCTGTAGCTGATGAATATGTTGGCTGTTCTTTAGGCTGGCGTTTTTTGTGTGTTGCGTGTTGTTTTTTAAGTAACACAAGAGTTGATGAAGAATTACTCAAGTGGCAGCAGCTAAACACAATAACAACAGCAGCAAAAACAACAGCAACAACAACATGTGAAGCAGCAGCAAGCATGCAACCAAGCGTTACACACGTACCGACAACAATTAAATCAGACGCCTACGTATGCTTTCAAAATCCCCCCTTCGTACCCCTCTGCAATGAATGACCAAAACGCTGGGTAGAACATCGGCGATGAAGACAAACATCCCGATTTGGTTGTAGTGGCATGGCAGCAACAACATCAGCGCCAGGCTTTTGCAACAAACACGTGCACTCAAGCTGACACGCGCAGGTGTTTCGAAGGCAACACCAACGACACCTTTCAGCAACAAAACCAACAACACAAACAACAACAACGACGACCAAAACAGAATAGAACAACACAGAACAGCACAGTAGCAACGATAAAGCAAGCAACTCATCCACTGATGTTGAGGACGGAGGACAAAGTGGAGGTAAAAAAGAATAAAAGTACGTGAATAGTCACAAGGCTTTACTTGAAGCACTTATTGTCTCGGATCCAAAAAGATTCAGATTCAGATTCATATGTTCGTTTGCTTGCTAGAAGATATAGCAACTGACAAACCAATACCAGCTCATATCCATATTCGAACGCACCACTATACATTAAACGCACACAAACACATACGCTCATTCTTCTTCTTCTTCCGAGACTTGTGAACATGATATCGAGGTCATTGTTTACGCGCTGAAACTAAATCTGAATCTGACTGGGGCCTCAGTGTGAGCGTGTGTGTGTGTTAGTGTGCGTTCCATTCCCAGCCATTGTATTTATGAAAGTCCTTTTCTTTGTTGTTGCTGTGTTTTTTTTGTTGTTTCGTTCATTTTTGCTAAAGTATTAAACAAATAACAAAAGTGAAAACAATAACATTATTGCAACACTCACATAGAAAGAGAGAGAAAAAGAAAGACAACAGCAGCAGCAACAACAACAACAACGACAACACAGTGGCACTCACACTTACAACAAAAACAAAAGACTGAAAGGCTATTCTATTTGTTTGCAATATTTATGACAGAAACGCGCTCGGATTTTAATCATCCGACACAAAGCGGCTGGGCCGCAGAAGTGACGCACTAACCAAAATGACCCATTGCCAAAAAAAAGCAGCAACTGAAAACAATAAGGAATCGCAATAAAATGGCGATAAATTATGGTCATGCTGGTCCTGCTGTGCGCTGCTAATTGAACATGGCTTTATAATGCGTTTTGAAATTCCAAAAGGAAAAAGCGCATTTTTATCGCTTTCAATCGTTTAACCTTATTTGGAAATATATCCTTAGAAACTGTCGCATATATGACAATAATCGGAGTGTTTAAAAAAAACATTTTTCAATAATATTGTCACTAAGTAGAAAAATTAGGAATGCCCCGGAAAATTGTTACGTGAATTCGAAGACGAAGTCTTAAGAATTTCAATTATTTGGTCATACAAACTAGATCGCCTGGAAAGCAAACTTTTCTTACCTTTTTATAAGCTACAACTTAGAATTTGAAATATACTTTGCTAAAGATGAAAAAGATCAATGATTCACTGACTATAGCAAATGTTATGCTTGGGTCAAACATATGTAAACTCTTATTTTATTATCATTTCCAAAAGACCAAAAGACCGATCGTACAACAACATAACTCATATAAATGATTTCCAAATTGGAAATACTCAATGAATGTTGTAAGCTTACTCTAACATTGCAGATACTGCACCAAGGAGACTCTCTAATTTGAAGAGCATGATGTAAAAATTTAGAGAAAATAAAAACAAAATAGGATTTTAATTCATTTTTTAATAAAATGTTCTGGATAAATTTATGAGTCTGAGTTTATCTATAAAGATTTATTCAAAGAATTCATGTATGTTTGACGAAAATTCAACGACGTTCATAGTTTGGACCAACTCGAAGCCCATATTCCTCTGGCACATAAATATTGAACAGGTTTGCACCCTCTGTTGTCATGGACCAATAAGTGTGGACAAGTTGTCACTACTGTCACCTGACTTAGGTTTCATACAAATCCAGCAAAAAAATGGTTGACGTATATGCCACTTTTAATATTACTAGCAATGAAAGCCACATAGTCTTTGCATTACCCGTATAAAAATGGAACTACATGGTGAGATGCAATAACTGCTACGAGCTTCAGACTGCTGTCATTTCTAAGCCACTCGTCCGAAAGCTGTGTAAATTATTCCAGTGACAGCTCATTATATTGTTTACAAGCATAAAAAAACATTTTTTACGCTCGTTTTCGTGATACTGGTAGCGTAGCTTGACGTCTAGGAAGTGGACGGAAGAAAACAGCAACATTAGATTAAATGGTTCGAAAGGTAAAGAAGTGACTTGATCGAAACCCGCGTCGCAGTGGGTAAAAAATGGCTCATGAGTTGAAAATATTGCAATATTCCATTCGGAAATATAAAAAATGAGCCCGGGATAATGCCATTGAGATTCCAAAAATTGTAAGAACTTACACCGCAAAAGAGCTACTTGACAGACATTCCGATGTTTACGGCATTAGGGGTCAATTGCAAAAATTTTAGCATTTTCTATTTTACATGAAAACGCTCGAATTTTTTTCGATATGCATTTATGTACGTTTCTGTGAGCCTATATTGTTAATTTAATTATATGACGAAAGTTTGATAAAATATTGATGGAAAATAGTTTGAACTTAATCGTAGAGCTCTTACTGTGGGAGAGTATATCCAATGGCGATTCTTGAACACTTGATTAAATAAAAATAGTAGCACGTATCAAGATTTGGGAAGAGTTCGGTCTTATTCGCAGCGAACACGAGCTGTGATTGTTCTACATTTTTAACATTGTTTCTTGTTCTATAAGAACAGATTTTGTAAACTAAAATATTTCAAATAATAATTTGATAAAGATAATTACGTTCATTGAAAAAATTCTCAGAACAAGAATCCAGTCATTGTGCGCAGTTTGGAAAAAATCAAATACTCTGTTCGAAATAAATTATATTGATCCAATTTTGACTGTTTTTGCAGGGCAGGTACTATAAAAAGTAGACCAAAACATTTTATCGTCGGCCAAGATCTTAATTCAATACATGTTTGGGTGTGGGATGTTTTAAGGAAAATTGGCAATATTTTTTTATTTAATAAGGTTTCTGATTTTCGTTTTTTAACGATTTGTGGGTGAGGTATTAGAAGGAACTGATTAATATAATATTGTGATTATTACCAAAATATTGACATTTTTGCAGGAAGTCACCAGATGTTATTTTAAGGATATACTAGAATCATAATTCACATATATCTCTCAAGTTTTTTCATATGCACTAACAAGCCAGAAGAATGGATAGATTGCCAAATAGACTCCAAATGTCCAGACAGACCGTTGCTTTTTTATATGTAGAGAAATATTTCCAAATTTTTAATTATGCTCTACCATTTAAATATTTTTTAATGATTATGTTAAATCCGAGCGTATTTACTTTTTTCTCGGGAAACGATCAATGATTCACATTTTTAGCTTCGGAAGCATCACTACCGTCATCGTAATCTTTTGTAAATATTGAACTTTGCGCCTATTATTCTAAATGGAAATTATTTTTTATTTTATCTCTCACTCCTTTCAAGAGAAGAATGCATTGTCCAACTTTCTATGGTATTATCTGAGAACCGTTGCATATCCCATGATAATCGTTTTGTACGCATTGCTTATTCTGTAGAGTGACATCGTTAAACTTTCATTTTTCAATAGAGGAGACAATGCCAACAGCTCTCTAAAAGCAAAACAAACAAGTAAGTTTCGCAAATAACAACAGCAACAACAACAACAACAACATAGCAATATAACCGATTTCATCGAACGTACATACATAAATAATGCAATAAACGAACGTTTTGTTTTATTTAGCCTATTTTGTCGTCGTGTTTCGTTTTCTGGCACCGTGACAATGCATTTGGCATTTCGTAGAACAAACAACGTTGACCTTTTGGAATTCTTTGATGATTGCGATGATGGCCTGTCATAGACGGGGATTTGTTTGCTGGGCATTGATTTATATGGTGTTCATGTGGTTGAGTGGATTCTGATTTTCTTGTTTCGTTTTGTTTTGTTTTGTCCATTCAACTTACCTCGTTGGGTTTGTTCAGCAAACACAGGCCGTTCCCCGTACGCAGCGAATCGATGTAATCCTTTTTACTGCACTCTGAGAATTTGTAAGGCTGGACATTCTCTTGGCCGACAATCGATTGAGCCATTATGCAACCGTGCCAATCGCGGCAAAAACATTCCTCTCCTACAACAGCGAGGAATGAAAAATGGAAATGAGAATTAAAATTTATGAAATAGTTATCGACTGGTTTCAGGAGGTGCTGTCATCACTGCCCACATCAAAGCACAGCATCAGAGCAGTGCAGTGCAGTGCAGTGCAGCTCAGTGAAGTGAAGTGAACGACAGCCAGCAGTCATCGATACTTACGTCCATCGTCGTGGCCCATGCCAATATTGTGGCCAATCATGTGGGCCATGGTGCCGGCCAATAAATGTGGTTCGTAGACATTGATGTCAACGCTGATGCCCACAGCACGTGGCGTACACACGGTGTCCGGCACTGCCATGCCCGCCTCACCTCCGGCAAATGTCTCGCCGCTAGAATGAGAGAAAAACGAAGCAACATAAATAAGTAGTCTCATTATTAATCTGGCTGATTGACTTGGAATATTTCTCGTCCTTTTTTTTGATTAACTTAAAAGCGAAATGAATTCTCGGGGGATTAATTGCAAAGCGATTGGGAGTCCAAGTGTAAGGAATTCATTTGTGCAAAGCCATTGATTAATTGTGGCAAATCAAAAGATAATTATGTGCTCTTTATCCGGCGTAAAATGTTTTCTTTTTGTTTTGTTTATCCTCCGTCCATACGATGTTGAGTGGCACCCAGTCGTACGTATAAGTAATGGAACACATTACTTATACGCACCCATGGTTGATTGAGTATAAATGGTCATTATTATGGTCAAGTCATTATTTTCAGTGGTGCCACAGTAATTTCTTTGGTAATTCTACTTCGAAACCTGTTCACTAGCCAATCAACTTAAAACCAACAAAGTATCCTATTTCGATAAAATCAATTGAAGTGAACCTCAGTTTGTAGCATGTTCTACAGATATAGTCGATAAGAAATATGTCAGAAATACGGAAACCAAGCTGCCAAATATAAAATTGTAAAAACAATGATATCCAATTTTGGCTAAAACGTTCCAATCTTCGTCTAACAATAGCTGGCCATTAGTTAGGTCATGTGTCAATGTAATATTGTTAATTTCATTACATTAGCAGCGACATGGTAGGCATTGATTTAATTAATTTGAAATACATAAAATGTGGGGGAGTGCATGTGAGAGAAGTGAACACAAAAACCTGCCTGGTCTGCTATAGTTTTAGTCACAAATGTGTGTTGGCTGGATGCCTGACACGCTGACTGACTGACTGCCTGACTACCTAGCAATTAATGTTGGAAAAAGGTAAAAATTGATTCATAATTGGATTAATTTTTCGGGTCATAAAATTTCAATCCAATTTTATGATCGAATCGAATGCAGAAAATTATGTAAAAATTTAATTACATTTTTAATCGGAATAATGTAAAACTATTCACAACTGCCTGTCATTATAAATCCAATCATATATTTTTATAATTGTCATATTTAAATGGCATTGTAATGCTTTGTGGAATTTATAATTGTACGCCATTTTATGGAATTTCATTTGTATGCATTTTGAGGGGCGAGAGAGACATTTTATTTCACATTCGAGACTATGTTAAAGCTCATGTCTATACAGATGAGTCCGCTTTAATGGAAGTATTGAAAGAAATTAGTATGTTGAAATTGGACTAAGCAGATGGACCATATGAGGTGCAGCCGCGGTCAACATTTGCATGAATAAGTATTCAAACGCTCAATTATATGGACAGTTCTTTCTTAAAAAAACGTTTGTTTTTAAAAAATCACCCTTTGAACATTGATTTCTTTCTCTTCTAAGTCCAAGGAAACATCTTTGTAACAGTCTTCTCAAAAATGCTGAATTAGCGCTCAGAAGCTATTAATCCCGATAATAATGATATTTTTATTATACCCTCCATATTCAATGAAGAATATATTAACTTTCAGACGAATTGAGATAGAAAGCCTAAATTTTACAGTCATAAATATTTTGCCAGTAGGCAGGTTAAGTTCATAAATGGACCATGGCGGTCCACGTCTTTCTATAGCCCCCATATAACGGTTTCTTTCGACATTCGGTACTTTTTATGATTTTAACGAAATTATTCACAGGAATTGTTTCAAAATTTCGTATTTGAAGATGGCTACTACAAGCTATGACAAACATTACTTATGTATGTCGACGTCTTCGTATAGCCCCTGTATAACAGTTTTACTTTAAGTGATATCGTTCAGAATATTTTGAAATTTTTGAAGTTCCTTTTCCAACGTAATAGGGCATTCTTGAATGTTGTAATACCTTCCATTATTTGTTTTCCATGCCGACAGGTTTCCGACTAACAAACTATTACTATTACCTCCCAACTTCATTGCGGCTGGCTCTATTTTCAATAATATTGACAGCTGGGTCAGTAGTTTAACTATTGGCAAGGCAATCGGACATTATAGTCAATTTAGCTGGAAATGAATATGGTGAGATTCCGACCAGCTGGTGGGATTGTCATAAAAATCGGTTCAGATTTGGACATAGTCCCCATATACAAGGTTGCCCATATTCGACGGACCCATGTTTTTTTTAATCAAAGAAAAAAAAAATAAAAATTTGGCGGTTGGCAATGTTAATCATTTAATTTGTTCCAAGTAGATTTTTTTACATCAATTTTTGAATATGATATCTCTCAAATGGCCGCCTCTGGCGTTTATGACGTATTGTGCCCTTTTTGCTGCATTTTCCATCGTTTTTGCCAACATTTCGGCCGGAATTGCGGCTATTTCTTCACGAATGTTGTCCTTGAGCTCTTCTACGGTCCTTGGCTTGTTAAACCTTTAAACCGTAATCGGCTTGTAAACCTTTAATTGTAAACCTTTGACTTCAAATATCCCCACAAAAAGAAGTCAGGCGGAGTCAAATCGGGCGAACGCGGTGGGCAGTCCAAATCACCACTTTAACTCCGCACCAAACAGTGACTTTTTCGTCATGACGACAAAAAAAAAAACGGCAATTTTGCTTATTTACGGTCCCATTCAATGTGAAATGGGCTTCATCGGACATGATAATTTTGTTTCAAAGTTTTCACAATTGGCTTCTTCTGTTGAATGTAAATTTCAACTATTTCAGAGCGCTTGCGTGGCGTGTATTGGTTCATGGTAAAAATCTGCTTGGACTGACGCTTCAAACGAGGTATGTCATTAAGCGATGTGACATCTCTGTCAAAAGTCATGGCGTTGCCAGATGGGTCCGTCGAATATGGGCAACCCTGTATAATTATGACTTACATACATTTGTTACGATATAGTTTAGGTAATACTACTTAGATATGCATTACGAAAAGGCACAATTTTATGCATTTAAAAATGTTCAGTTAATTTCAAGTTTTTCTTATAAGATACTTTCAAACCCGTATCCAAAAGTGTCAAGGTTGAAATATAATTGTCAATAGCGTAATTTAAATTGGTTGTCATTAGCGATTATCCAGGAAATATTTTTTTACATTAGACGAGATATAACATTATATGTTTAAAATTCGGTCGTAATATATGAATAGTTTCTCATCCTAAAAATTAAAGAAAAGTTTTTTCCAGATTTAAAATTGTTGAGTCTTTAAGGTAGATTCATTACATTTACAAATTTACTTCTCTTCGGAAAAACATTTATTTTCTTGCAGTAGTTTTTATATGTTTACACTATTGTTTACATGTAAATGTCTATGTCTACTTCGGACCTGACTAAGTCTGTGTCTAAATGAGTCTTAGTTGAGTCGTTAATTAACTAAAATGACCATAAAACTAGTAATACATCATTAATGTAAACTAGAACACATCACAGAAGGATGATAACATGGACTTTTACAATGCGAACATACACACACACATACACATTTCTAACAAATAGTTATCTTTTGAAATTCGTTTTCATGTAATTTTCCCTAGAATGAAAAAGGAAAACAAGTTGGCTTCTATGAAAAGGCAGTGGTAGCCCATTCAACTGATGTCGTTATCCTGACACTACTACCTAGAATGATAATCTCGGTTTATCGCACACCTGAAGTAATTTTAATTTAATTACATAACATCATCTGTACGATGATTATGTCGGAACTGCAAAAAAGATTGTACTGTCTGAGCTCCTTAGGTCTTAATTAAGGTTTCTATTAAAGCGAAATATATTTGAATTATGGCGTTGGGCAAATGGATTGGAGAAAACGACAATTTTTCGGGCTACCTGCAGGACATTTCTTTTGTAAATAAATGAAAACAAACCAAAAAAGTTAAAAAGTATCAGTCGGTTTTGCCGACATATGTAGCCAGTTTTCGATCATTTAAATATATTCTTACTTATGTTATGATCATTAAAATTTTTGACGAATATTGTCCATTCCGTACTGGACCTAAATAAATATGATATAGAACAGAGTTTGGCTTGCTTGTTTGGGATACCATAGTATTTTGTTGTTGCAAAATCGTCAGGCAAAATCCCATTATTGTTGTTTTTATAAAAACAACGTTTGTTTATGAGTGGAGAACGATGGTAATGTTTACCAGGGGGTAAGGCAGGGAATACCTAGGTTTCGGAAAGAGCCACCAATCCTCATCAGTTCCCTTGTTTCTTGTCTGGGATATTCTCCCCAGAAGTTATTTTAAAAAATAACTTCTATGACAAAAAACATTTTTTACCCAAGTGACGAGATCGTAAGCTCAATAGAAGAGGATCAAAAGAATTACATAAAACTAAAATTCTTTTGGAAAATCTTCTAAATAACAAAACAAAATACTATGGTATCCCAAACAAGCAAGCCAAACTCTGTTCTATTAATAGACACAGGCACGGTCGACGAAGGGGTTTTTGTTGTAACAGACAAAACAAACTTACATGGTTATGTTACTTCGTTCAGGTTGAACGAAAACATAACAAGTGGAGAAAGATGTAAATGTTTATAAGTGCGGTTGTAAGATTTAGAAGATTTTCCAAAAGAATTTTAGTTTTATGTAATTCTTTTGATCCTCTTCTATTGAGCTTACGATCTCGTCACTTGGGTAAAAAATGTTTTTTGTCATAGAAGTTATTTTTTAAAATAACTTCTGGGGAGAATATCCCAGACAAGAAACAAGGGAACTGATGAGGATTGGTGGCTCTTTCCGAAACCTAGGTATTCCCTGCCTTACCCCCTGGTAAACATTACCATCGTTCTCCACTCATAAACAAACGTTGTTTTTATAAAAACAACCATAAATATGATATAAATATTGCGACGTGCCAGTTTTGGACTATATTGGTAACTTCCATCACTTTATATGAGATAGATAATAATTTTTAGAAAATGTTAGCATGTGCATGAGCTGAGTATTGGTATGGCCAAAATTACAAGAAAATCGAATATTTATATCCAATTTTACGCAAAATCATAAATTGCATATTCATCTCAGGTG